AGCCAGAGTTAAACCACAACATTCAATTACCGTACATACCTGCAAAAAGTTTTGTTTATTTCAATGAAGTAGTAATAATTTCCAGGTTTTCTAGTGCTAGTTTCTAAGAAAAGTTTATGTGTCTGTTTATCTTCTGATACACCACATTCGGGAAAAGAGTTTTTACACAAGCACCAATAGCATGAAGGAAAGAAATCGCTTGATTCTTGCCATATAGCAAAGCAATAATATAAAATGCAGGAAACCAAAAGCAAAAGTAACAATGCATTTAGAATAGAGTTGTCTCAACTACTGTACCTGTAGAGGAAAAGATCTTTGGCCAAACGCTTGGGCCCAATGATTTTGAAAATTATCTCGTACGTTTCAAGTGCCTTCCGATGAACGCCCCCCGGCAAAGCTGGATGGAGACATTGTGCTAGGCGCTTCCCTATGGTCAGCTTTTTCGGTACGACCTGGTACTTCGCGTTGTTCTGTAGTACCTGATAAATCAACACATTAAGAAAAACAGCACAAAGCAATTTAAACGTCAAATGCACATTTGATAAATTAGTTCCTGAGGACGGTCAGTAAGTCATGACACATAGCTAGGGCATGACACAAGAAAAAAAACCTCTTTGAAGATGTACTGTGGATCATTTTCTTTGCAATGCCTTGTTATAGATGTGATTGCCAAGGCACTTAAAACTTTACTTACAACGGGCCCCTTACTTACAGCTTGTCCATTTCATTTTACTCCTTTTTTACAACAAAAATTACTGTTTTCATTTGTCAAAATCAACTGCCAGTAACTCAGAGGAGCATGAAACTGTAGGTGGCAAGTTTGGGATAACTTTAAGAAACTGCCATAGATTGAGACAATGTACAAAACTTTACTACTGCCTGAAACTTCAGGACTGGAACACGGAGTTGCATTTACATCTTCGGATTTTCCTTTCCCAACATCACAGCCTTCACTTTGTATGCACGCGCAGCAAGAACTGTTAGAAATTTAAAAAAGACTGAAATGGGAGTTTATACATAGAAATTATGCCATAGGCACTGACAGTTGCACTGTCTTGCTTGATTTTCCACAAAGTTTAAAGGGTAGAATGTAAATGCTTCAGACTTGTAATTTTCTATGCCAAATTCTGCAGAGCTTCACATTGGTTAAATGTGTGTGTGTGTAAAGGGAAGTCTATAACCCTGACTAGAGATCCCTAGAAATATATAGGTCTGATGAGAACACGACTTTTAAGGGTATCAGGATCTGTATTCACTTCTAAATTTTTATTAGAGATTACAATGATAACCCACATTTAATAAGTTAAACTATTAAAACCAATCAGAATGATTGATTACATTCCCTGGTCAATGAACGATTTCAGCCCCATTTTATAATTCATGTTTCATAAAAATATTGCTTATATTTATACTGGTTACTATTTTTTTTTTTTTTACACAATTTCAATTAAACTGAATGAGATGAGAAGTAAATGTTAGTAATAAAAAAGTTGTTGCATTTATTTCCACTAGAATAATCGTATCCTGGGATGTATCAGGAGAAGTGTGGCCAGCAGCTCGAGGGAGGGGATTCTGCCCCTCTGCTCTTGTGAGACCCCACCTGGAGTACTGTGTCCAGCTGTGGAACCCTCAACATCAGAAGGATATAGACTGGTTGGAGCAAGACCACAGGAGGCCACGAAGATGCTCAGAGGGCTGGAGCAGCTCTGCTATGGGGACAGGCTGAGAGAGTTGGGCTTGTTCAGCCTGGAGAAGAGAAGGCTCCGGGGAGACCTTATAGCACCTTCCAGTACCTGAAGGGGCTACAAGGAAGCTGGGGGGCACTTTTTACAAGGGCCTGTAATGACAGGACAAGGGGTAATGGGTTTAAATTGAAAGTGGGGAGGTTTAGATTAGATATCAGGAAGAAATTCTTCACAGAGAAGGTGGTGAGGCCCTGGAACAGGTTGCCCAGAGAAGCTGTGGATGCCCCATCCCTGGAAGTGTTCAAGGCCAGGCTGGATGAGGCTTTGAGCACCCTGGCCTAGTGGAAGGTGTCCCTGCCCATGGCAGGGGGGTTGGAACTAGATGGTCTTTAAGGTCCTTTCCAACCCAAATGATTTTATGATTCTAGAAATGTAAGTAACTTCTTCCTTTACTTACAACTAAAAAGGGTTCAACTGTAAGTCTTAGAGGAGCATTTGATTTGTTTGCTCTTTGCACACACCCAACATTTGGCTCAGACCGCTAAAATATTTGCAGGAATATTAGACTGCTAGAAACTTGCTCTTCTGTATTTTGACACCAGTAGCCTTTAACAGTTCCTGAATCTGTTCCAAGAGCACCTGCCAGGCATACCTTGTTTAGCTTTCCAAGCGCTGATATTAAATCCGCCCATTCACTGGAATATTCAAAGTTCTTCAGTGCTTTGTCAACAGCTGCTACGTAGTTTCTGTACTTGGAATCAGTCAGTAGCTCCAGCTCCTCCGTGTTCATCCTCCCACAGTGTCCCCACTAGAGACTAGCTTGCAATTCATGTACAGACATTACCTGTTCAAAAAAAACACCCACAGAAAAACCCAACCTTGGAACCATTGTTTCCAGAGACATATTCTTGAACAAACTTTGTATAGAGCACTACATTTTCCTCATCACAGGCACTGCAGAAATATCAAACTGAAATCAGGTTACTTACAGTAAATCTTATACAAAGGCCAGCATACAGCACACAAATATTTAACACATGTCCAAAAGAGTGTATTTGTAATCAAGTTCTGTTTAAAAAACAACAAACTCTTCCCCCCCTCAAAAAACAAAGCACCCCCAGGAAATTAATGGCCTGCCCCTCACAAAAAGCAGTTTATTCTGAACAATGCAAAGGCCTATTTTTTTTCCCCTCCCCTGGGTGCATCACCAGAAAAATCCACCTTTCCACAAATCAGCCCTTCAAAAAACAGAAAGGACCAATCCTCCCCACTTCCATAGCAGACAAGAAGGAAGGATACAATAGTCACACACTACTCAAGAGTACTTTCATGCATCACGTCCTTTTACAAGACCTGGAATTCTAATTCAGCGATGCAATTCTACTTTGTTTTTATATTACCACCACCCACGCACAACCAAACTGTATGTTTACTAGTGTTCTGCAATCAGAGGCTTTTGCAATTTGCTCTATATATGTTCATGACATGGTAGTCTACACCAAGTAATTAAGATATTCTAATTCCAGAAACACCACCTCACATCTTTATAGGCCATGCACTATTTACTTCATGAAATTCAATCACTATTAAAAAGAAATATGTTTATAAAACGACTTTAACCCAAGCAACTACAAGTCATAATGGAAAATCCTACTGTACCATGTCTTTGAAAAAGGCAACTTTTGTGTCCCCTTTCATTGGGGTCTTTTAGGAGTTCTCTGATAGCTTCAGAAGAGACTTCACGTGTGGCACATGCTGTTCTCTTCTGTCTTGATTAAAAGAAAACAGGAAGAAAATCATGCGCAGAAGCACGGGTTGAAACATGGTAGACCAAAAAAAACCATTAAACCATTAACAGGTATAAAGAAGCTGTTATTCATCAGACTGTCTGCCCAGTATGATAAGCAGCCATTCCAAAAACAGCATCTTCAGTGGGCCCTTCCAAAATGACTGGAGAACATGCCTTGTGGGCCCCTATTCTCAGTGACCAGCAATACAATAAAAGCGTGGCCAGCAGGTCAAGGACAGGGATTCTCCCCCTCTACTCTGCTCTGAGACCCCACCTGGAGTGCTGCGTCCAGCTGTGGAGCCCTCAACATCAGAAGGATATACAGCAGTTGGAGCGAGTCCAGAGGAGGCCACGAAGATGCTCAGAGGGCTGGAGCAGCTCTGCTATGGGGACAGGCTGAGAGAGTTGGCCTTGTTCAGCCTGGAGAAGAGAAGGCTCCAGGGAGACCTTATTGCACCTTCCAGTACCTGAAGGGGCTACAAGGAAGCTGGGGGGGACTTTTTACAAGGGCCTGTAGTGACAGGACAAGGGGTAACGGGGTTAAATTGAAAGTGGGGAGGTTTAGATTAGATATCTGGAAGTTCTTCCCGGAGAGGGTGGTGAGGCACTGGAACAGGTTGCCCAGAGAAGCTATGGATGCCCCATCCCTGGAAGTGTTCAAGGCCAGGCTGGATGAGGCTTTGAGCAACCTGGTCTAGTGGAAGGGGTCCCTGCCCCTGGCAGGGGGGGTGGAACTAGATGGTCTTTAAGGGCCTTTCCAACCCAAACCGTTCTATGAAAATAGCATGATTGTTTGAAATGCAGAATACCTATGAAATAACAGAGCAGAAGAATTAGCAGAAATATGAAGTAACATTCTGATTTCTGGTGGATCTACAGTTGGAGATAATGAAAAAACCCTGCTCTTTAAATTCTGCTGAGGAATAAGTTTAAGTGTTTGTAGACCAACCAGAAAAGACTACAAGTTCAACTTGTATTACTTCATGTCATAAACCCACTCCAGTTCTACAAGATGCAAACACATGAACACTTTTCTGTCTTTTATCACATACGATCAATTTTTAAAAAGCTTTATATGGACACAGAAATCTTTATTTGATATATACTGTATCCATCCTGGCCTTCAAACAGTGATCTCCCCAGAATTGTTACAAAGCTTCTATTTAATAAGTTTGTCAACATTTCTCATAGGGGTACCACTGACTGAAGAACATAAACATTCCATAAACCCTGGGAGTGGTTACCCAGTCTTTTCAGCTACCTGAAGGCTGATTCCTTGTAATGTTCTTGCAACAACCACAAAACATACAAACTGTATCACTATTAGACAGCAGTAAGTCAGGCTTGAAATTTTACAATTGTCATCTTGTCAAGTTTATCATAAAGTGCCCTGGCAGATTTTTGCTCCCTTGTTTCTGTTCATTTAATTAGCAGGTGCTTCTTAAGGTAAAATCTTGAGAAGCCAGCTTTAATCATCCCAATTATTATTTTGTTTTGCCAGTGCTAGAACAACATTAAAAAATTGTTCCTTCAGTCAGAGACAGTACACCACCAGTCTGGGTCATGGAGAAGGACCTCCGAGAACCATCTCACCCCAAATCTTTCATGTGTGGGCACATGTAAGGTGCCAGACAAGCCCCTCTTCTGCTGTCAGCACATTTCTCTCTTCTGCAGAACAACCAAAATTCTGCACGAGTAATTTCTTTACTCTTATTATCTTTCTCCTCACACTGCTCATCTCCTGGTTCCTCAGCATTGTAAGAAAAGTTGCAAGAAAGAAGAAGAACAAGGAAGGGAGGAACAAAAGGAAGAAAAAGGGCTGGGATAGCAGGAGTGAATTAAAAGGCCAAGAATTACAAACCTTTTGCACTCTTGATTCTGATGACAGACTAACAGTGACAGATTGTCTCCAAGGCGGAACAGAAATGCAAACCATTACTTAAAAAGCATATTCTGGGTGCCAAATTGATAGATTTCATGATACCCCACTGGTGTAAAGAACTGAGATCTCACTTTTTATTTAAAAAAGGTATTTCATGTGCTTTCATTTTATAATAACTATCTCTCTTTCGATTAAGTCTAGAAAAAGATCAGGTTTGCTTTGAAAAAGCTGTAGAATGCCAACAGATTTCACAAAGAGAAAGTTACATGACTGCCAATGTCTGATCTCCAAAAGTAAAGTATTAACACTGAAAAAAAAGAAGAAAGGACCAACAAACAAAAGCAACACAATTCTCAATTTTTACAGGCACAAGAGGTGGAGAAAGAATGTGCCACAGCGAATAATGCTTTCTGAGTGAAGAAAGCATCAGCATCCTTTTTTTATCCAGCTAAAGCATAAATGCAAGCACTTATGGCTGAGTGGAAAACAGGGCTCTGTCTTCCTCAAGTGCTTGACAAAACTGAAAGCTGACAGTGGTCCATTTCAGGATTATCCAAGGTTAGACAATACAAGCAGGAACACAGGCTGAAGCAGGTAGCTTTTTCTTGGACTTACTACCTGATCATAATATTCACTTATTTTTAAAAACAAAACAAATTAACGTTGACTGAATAATCTATACTTACAGAAAAGCTAGAGATGCAGAGATGATACTATGTAAATATTAAGTATCCTTCTTATAAATCTGGCCCTATTTTTGTTCTAAGATCACTGCAAGAATGCCCTGTAGCTCATTTATTTGCACTAATACATAAAAATATACCGATATCATCTACCTGGACTTGTGCAAAGCATTTGACACTGTCCACATGACATCCTTGTCTCGAAACTGGAGAGACATGGATTTGACAGACAGACCGCTCAGTGGATAAAGAACTGGCTGGATGGTCGCACTCAGAGAGTGGTGGTCAACGGCTCGATGTCCGAGTGGAGATCAGTGATGAGTGGCATTCTTCAGGGGTCCATATTGGGTCCGGCACTGTTTAACATCTTTGTTGGCCACATGGACAGTGGGATTGAGTGCGCCCTCAGCAAGTTTGCCGATGACACCAGGGT